TTTTTTATTATTATTATTATTATTATTTATTTTCTAAAAATCCTAGTATTTACTTATTCATGTAGGGAGAGTAGACAAATGTAGCCGTTGAAAGAAATAGCTGTTTATACTCATTTTACGGCGTCATTGTGAAAGAATGCCGCCACTGGAATCATATACAAAAGTATATCCTAGACGTCTTGGGATTTCGCTGAATGACAATGTGTATATTATTGTATTAATCAAATAGTTTTTCTATCGTATATGTTTGGTGTTCCCCCAGTATGCATGCCCCATGGAGCTGGGGACCACGAGTCTCCTGGCTAAACATAGTGGAGTATAGTGATTGAAGGTACTTCGAATCTATTGGGAGGAACGCCACTCCAAGGCTGATCGGACAGCAAGTAGCTCGGTCATAAGGAACTGGCTAATAGTAGTAATTCAACTTGAAACATGTGGGCTACATGCTCGTATCGACTGGGAAGGGCGGACAGCCACTCCAAGCGCCAAACTAGATTTAAAAAGGGAGATTTCTGAGTACTGGCATTCTTTCCGCATCTTCTCATATCAGGACATTTGACTGGTATCTTCCGCAATTGTTGACTTACCCCTCTGAAGCCTACCACGGAGGTTGATAAAGATACGATCATTATTCTATTTTACTATGGGTAGTCTGGACCCTGGGCGAGAGGCACTACAGCCTACGTTCGCTATGGATACTATTGCCGACTCGATTCAACATGCTAAAATCCCCCTTACTCACATCCAAACGGCACATGCGGCCTCCAAATTGCAAGAAGAGATGATTCTTGCGACAATGATGGACGTGGACCACCAGGTCTATCTGGAAACATACCATTTCACTACGACTCAGAAGATCCAGGCCACCCAGCTGTCTCATGCCCTGCAGAGACTGATAGACAAACACGCCATCTTGCGGTCATTGTTTTGTTGGGACGATAATGGCAACAGCACAAACTCAACCATGGTCCGTCTTGTGGTTCTCGATACGAAATACCTTCTCAAGATGGGCACCTTCATTGGGTATAACGCCCAGAATGCAAATGTGGTATTTTATATGATAGGATCGCCCTTTTCAGCCGGTGCAAAGTGGTCCGGGCAATTGCCATGGAAAATCTCTCTTTCGCAATCGTCCGATCAACAAGGGTCAGGATTGACTCTGAGCTTCCACCACGCAATACTAGACGGAACCTCGGCACGTCAGCTACTACTTGAGATTCAAAATGAGCTAGACTCTCCAGCGTCTGTTGTACCGCAATCCGACATCTTTGCAGCCAACAAAGCCCTGGCCAAACGGTGCAATGATGATACTCGCGCTCGAATCAAGGAGCAGTTTGCGGCAGTGCAAATCAAACCTAACCTTCAAAATATGGAGCCTGGCCAGCGATCGACTGAGAACTTCCGGCATGCCGAGCAAACCAGCCGCATCGAAACGAGGTTTCCTCCTCATACTGCCAGAGCTGCCGTTCCCGCCTGGATAGCAAGATTGGCCCTATCGATGGCATTGTGCTCGTGTCAGGACATCAGTGAGACAGTGTTCCTGGAGATCATGTCAGGTCGAAAGGCTCTTTCAGAGCAGCATCAAGAGGTCCTCGGTCCTCTATTGGCTCCCCAAATTCGGCATGCCCGGTTTTGCAGAGATACCCCCATATCGGATGTTGCCCAGTTACTAAAGTCAATCCACGATGTTGAACATGGGTTTTCGGTTGGACAGCTCAAATCACTTTTACCGGAGCTAGCCCATCATATCGATGTCAGCCTTGTTTGCCAGACAGACATGTCGTATCCTTCAAACGGAGTTGGCGATTGGCTATGGGGTTGGCGAGAGGCAAAAACTGACATTCCTTTAGCCGTCGAGCTATTGCCACCGAGAGAAGGATTCTTCCACGTCACCATACGTTATCATCGGAACAAATATACGGACGATTTTATAGCCAGGCTCCTGAGAACATTTGGTGGGTATTTGCAATGGCTGCAAGAAAACCACGCCTACCTATCGAATTATACCTTCGATAATAAGAGCTCGGACGGTGATCCACTTCTCAACATTGTCAAGAGAGACGCAGCCGACCCCATACCAAAGGAGCAACTCCACCGTTCGACTAGTCTCCAATGTGAATTCGAGCTTGGAGTCCATGAAATATTTGAGCTCCAAGCAAAGCGAACGCCACAAAAGATTGCCTTACAATATGAGCATTCCCAGTACATGACCTACGCCGACCTTAACCTACGATGCGATGAGATGGCAGGGGCCCTTGCGTACCAGATCGGCCGCTTATGCCCACGACCAGCTGGGTACGAGGAGGTGGTTGCAATCTGGTTCGAAAAGAGCATTGATATGATCATAGCCATCTTGTCGATTCTGAAAGCTGGTTTAGCTTATGTCGTCCTTGATGCTAATCACCCGGCTGAGCGAATTGCACATATTCTCGAGCTGTGCAAGGCAAGGATTGTTTTATGTGGCAACATGACTGGCACTGAGAAGCTGAGAGAAATTTCACACAGGAGAGGCGCATCCATGTTTACTTTAGGCAATCTTCTCAATGAACATAATCTTCAGCTAGGTCAACGTGCTCTCATTAACAGGAGAGAGAGTTTTTCGATATCCTCGCTTGCCTGCATTCACTTCACCTCAGGGACAACTGGAGTGCCGAAAGGGATCATGATTGAGCATCGCAATATCGTGGCATTTATACGTGCCGAGGTGCCTGGCTTTCTGGGAGGCTGGACTGCTTGTCAATTGCAGTTGACCAACCCCACATTTGACATTACAATAGCAGATATCTTCGGTACGCTAGGATGGGGAGGACGGCTTATACTTGGTTCAACAACGAACTTGCTATCCTCACTGCCCCAATGGTTGGAGGGGACCAACGTAACGCATCTTTTCACCACGCCTGCCGTGGCGAATGTATTGCAGGGACAGATTCCAGCCTATCTGAGTGTTCTTACTGTTGGTGGAGAAGTGTTCCACCCGTCCTTCTTACAGGACACACCCAAAGAATGTCGTATATTCAACGGATACGGTCCCAGCGAAACTACAGTCCTTGCAACCATCTATGGCACAGGCCAGACCGACAAATCTCTAGAGAAAGTCCCGATTGGGCTGCCCTATGGAGAAAGTCGAATCTATGTTGTAGTGCCTCAGACCTTTCAGCAAGTAGCTGTGGGGGAAGTCGGGGAGATCCTAATAGGAGGACCACAAGTCACACGAGGCTATCTGGGAGATCAAGAACTCTCAGCTTCGAAATTTCAATCAAGCCCCTTCACTGACTCTCGAAGAGTATATAGAACGGGAGACTTGGGTCGGCTTTTGCCCGACGGGACGCTCGACTACATTGGGCGCATTGACAATCAGATCAAACTCCGAGGCCAGAGGATAGAGGTAGGGGAGGTTGAATCAATACTTGCAATGCATAGTGGAGTGAGGGCCTGTGCAGTTGTTAAGGCCGACACATCTGACGGCGGCTGCTTGGTGGCCTTCGTCGAGATGCATGCAAGACCTGCAACAAATGAACACATTGTGGCTTTAGAAAAGACTGAGTGGAGCCAGATCACGGAGGAACTCAGGTCCAAGGTTGCTAAAGTGTTGCCAGAGTACATGGTGCCAGCCTTTATCTTTCAGGTGAATGAGCATCTGCCTCAGACCATGAATGGCAAGGTTGATCGACGCGAGCTGTCATGTCGCGCAAAGAATCTGATCAAGAACGAAGAGCAACCATCAAAGACCAGCCAATCTGAGCCCCAGAGCGAATTGGAGAAGGTTGTGTGTGCAATATTTGGTGATGTGCTGTCCTGTTTAGTGGGAGTCGACGACAACCTCCTGAATATGGGAGGTCATTCCATCACTGCCATCCGGGCCGCCACGAGAATCAATCACGATCTGAATTGTGGAATCACCTTCCGAGAAATCTTGCAATTTCCAACTCCTCGTTCCTTGTGTGCCAGGATTCGTCAATCAAGTGAACTATCCAAAGCAACAGAGGCAGGGAAGTCGAGGCTAGTCCAAGGGTCAGAACCCGTGGAGCTATCCTTTGCTCAATCACGTCTATGGTTCCTGGACCAGCTACACCAAAACTTGAGCTGGTATCTGATGATTTTTGCTTTCCGAGCTCGAGGCCCGCTTCGCCTA